ATGATAAATAGAAAAATCCACTAGATTTGGCAACAAGAAAGTTATCAATACTATCTTCTTTTTTTTTTTTAACATATAATGTATTATTTGTTCCAGAGGTACAGGTCTGTGATTCATCAGTCTTACACAATTCACAGCGCTCACCATAGCACATACCCCCCGCCAATGTCCATCACCCAGCCACCCCAGCCCTCCCACCCCCCACCACTCCAGCAACCCTCAGTTTGTTTCCTGAGATTAAGAGTCTCTTACGGTTTGTCTCCCTCTCTGGTTTCATCTTGTTTCATTTTTTCCTCCCTTCCCCTAGGATCCTCTGTCTTGTCTCTCAAATTCCTCATATCAGTGAGATCATATGATACTTGTCCTTCTCTGATTGACTTATTTCACTTAGCATAATACCCTCTAAATTGGAGGGGGAGATGAACCACGAGAGACTATGGACTCTGAGAAACAAACTGAGGGTTCTAGAGGGGAGGGGGAGAGGGGGATGGGTTAGCCTGGTGATGGGTATTAAAGAGGGCACGTATTACATGGAGCGCTGGGTGTTATATGCAAACAATGAATCATGGAACACTACATCAAAAACTAATGATGTAAGTATGGTGGTTAACATAATAACATAAAATTTAAAAAAAAAATTGGAGGGACAGTTCAATGGGCCGAAGTTGGTTAAGAAAATCATTCAGTCCAGTTCACGACATATTCTACCTTATAGGATTATTATAAGAATTAAATGAAAGCATATTATGAACTGAAAAGTACCATACAAATATTAGGTGTTATTTTTTTTCATTATACAGAAATTCTAACTTTTGGAATGTAAAAAAATACTTACGTTTCTTGCCATTCAACATTCCATTCCTATTTTATATGAATGTAGTCATGAATCAATGAACTTTATCTTCAGGGTTCTCTCTTTGTAGCTACTAGAATTCTTGACAGCTCTGTAAGATGAAATCCCCAGACAAATTGAAACCAACAGTTACCATCTCAGAAGTTGAACAGAGAAAAATGGGAAATTATGTTAAGTTGATTTCTGTGGTCCTCATACACCTGCGGTTACCGGGACAAAATACTGACTCTGGGGATTCGCTTGATTTTTCTTTGTGCTTTGGGATCTGTTGTTAATTTAGTGAAACACATATTTCTGCTGGGCAAGACCCAGGTAAGGCTTAGATCAAGTTATAAACCCATGCCTTTTATCACACTCTGATAGCAGGAAAAACCTGCAAAAATGTCATCAACAGGAAAAAAAATTATGTGTTTTGCTTTAGGGTCTTTGGCTTGAGGTTTTCTTGATATTTTAAAAACCATTAAGGAGCTAAAAAGTTTATAGCTAATGGCTAGTAATTAAATTGTGTATAGGCAAAATTAAATAAAATCCATTAAGTAGTGAGATTGCATTACACTCTGTGATTTTGTCTGAATATTTTTGTTGAGTGCAGATTCTCAAACTCTTGCTATGAAACCAATGGAACAATCTTCCTGTTCTGTTGCTGTTTTATATATTTGGGAGCAGGTAATTGAACCTATCTGAATCTCAATTTCTTCATATATAAAATTGAGATAATAAGAATTATCTTATAAATCTGAACATTCATACCTTTGTTGGACAACGGTAGGCAATGGACATTTCACCCTTGTCTTCATAGAGTTTTGGATATTCAAAAGGCAGTATTATTGAGATAGCATTTTTTTCTCTCAGTCATTGGAAAACTTTGGCACTCAGATTTTAGCTATGGGTTTGAAACAGAGCATCTGTGTAAAAACTAATTACAACCCCAGCCATGAAAAGATAAGATGGGACATACAACAGACCCTTAATGTTGGTCACATTAAGGAAAATTGGGGGCAAGATGGAAGTTGAAAGATTTGAATGTTATTTTAATACAAGTCTTCACCCTGAAAATACATTGCATTTTATAAACTTTGGAAGGGTTTTTTTTCCTAAATATTTTCAAATTAATTTAAACAGCCCATGTCTCTTTATGCCTTTTAGTACAAATTAACATATGGCTTAATAAGTCTGCATTTTAGGAACCATAAATAAGCATAACTTTATGGAAACCCATATTAGTTTAAGTGAGACAGCTTCAAATTAGAAGACTTACATAAAACTATAAAATGTAATATTTGGCTATCCCATATTTTCTCATATCTACTGAATATCTTGGGCTGTCACCAGAAAGTCTACTCAGAGTGAAAAGATGCTTAGTAAGGAACAAGGACAATCTTTTAGGCCAATCTTACATAAGAAGCACATTGGCAGCAAATCTTCCCAGCCATCCTTGTCATATGCTGTTGTCTGCCGAAGACATGAACTGTGCAGTGAGCTCTTGAAAGAGCAATGAGTCACAGGCAATACCTGCCACATGCATTATCCTCAAGGTAAATGCATGTCATGAGACAAGGCCACGGAGACCTAAAATAGTCTGAGCCTGTCACTTAGTACCCAAAATAATTACTCAAGAAATAACTCTTTCTAAGGGGACAAATTACCCCATCAACATAAAATGACACTCTTGTGAAATTGTTGGATAATGTCTTTAAAAAAAAAAATGTCCTGGTGATCACCCTGACATGAAAATTATCAATTAAAATCACAGCAGCGAAAAGAGGTCAAGAATTGTTTTTCTAAAATCTCTTCTCAGTTCCAGTCTAGGCTTGAAGTCATTCCCACGGAAGGACCACAGTAGGAACCGGTCAAGAGAATCCATAGGAATCAACTGCCAGGTAAACCAAAAAGCAAGCGCCTTAGGCCAGAAAGACTGCAGGGTTTCCCTGGGAAGAAAGCAGGAAAAGAAGCCCCACAGTCCAGGTTCTCAATGCACGTGCCTGCTGAAGAGACATGTCCTGTCACGGAGCACATGACAGGGACAGCTGAACGCAAAACTTGAAACATAGGTCAGGATTAACTAAAGCCAAGGTTTGCCAGGTATATGAGTTCCCTAGAGCTGCCATAACAAATTACCACAAACTGGTTTAAAACAGCAGAAATGTATTACATCACAGAAGCAACCTGGCCATCCATTACCAATATGATCTGGGAACTTGTGGCACAATGTGAGGAATTAGAATGTTAAAAACTCAAAGTAACCTTCAAAATCACCAAACCCAACCACCTTACTTTATAGAGGATTAACAGATCTTTCAAAAGCAGCAATTTCCAGCCAACTATAATTTTTGAGACCCAGGGGACAAGCAGTTGTGAAGACTGAGCAAACTGTTACTTTTTTTTATTTTAATTTTTAATTTTTTTTTTAAAGTAGGCTCCATGCCCGGCATGGAGCCCAATGCAGGGCTTGAAGTCCCAACCCTGAGATCAAGACCTGAGCTAAAATCAAGAGTCAGACGTTTAACAGAATGAGCCACCCAGGTGCCCAGGGGCAGTAAACTGTTACTAATAGAAAGCACTAAGTAGTAAAAATGATTCACTTTTCTCATACACAAGGATAGATTAAAGGCTGTGCCCACAATCATCTCACCCATATTCACTTGCATTTCTTCTGTAGGAGAGAGGCGGAGGAAGAAGTTACGGATACAGCTAGAGGCTCTAGTTGTCCATAACCCACAACCCATCTTATCTCTGCCTCCAAAGAAGTATGTTGAACAGGAGAATGTCATTCAGATGTATACCCCAGTACAAAGCAGGTTGAAGACTTCCATTCTATACAACTACTTTACCAGGCAAATATTGTGTGATATACCTGTGTACTTCCCGGTTTCTAGACACACACATAATTGCAGTAGAGCATTTCAAGGGCAGTTTTATCCCACCCTTTTAGATGTCTTTATATGTTGTTTTTCCTTTCTTAGATGTAGCAATCCTTGAGCCTGCTCTAAAAAAAACAGGGAAATGGGGGAAGCAAGAGAAAAGAGGATTTGAGAGAAATATCAAATGGCAGGGTAGCAAAGTAGAGTACAACCTCAAACCAGGATGCTTAGCCAGGGCAGGCTGCAATGGAGAGCACAGAAAATGTGAAAGAGGCAGAATCAAAGGAAAATCTTTCCAATGCACTACTGAAGACCTATCTAGACACAAAATTATTGCCCTCAGTCCTCTCCCTTCCAGCAGGAGGAAAAGAAAGAAGTATAAGTTAGAAAGATAAGGAGGAAGAGAGGACAAGACAGACACAAGTCTGTATCAGATGCCTACTTTAGACCAAGAAACTTGCTAGATATGGAAGATAAATCTCATTGCATTCTTCACATTCTAAAGCATTAGGGTGTTATCCTCATTTCACAGATGAGGAAAGTGAGGATCAGTGTATCTGAATACTTTGCCCATTGTCACAATGCCTGTCCCTGATGCAACTACAATGAAATCTAGAAATCCCTGATCCGAGGCAGCTCTTCCCAAGAAGAAAAGTGGAAACAAAGAAGGCCAAAGTCTTCCTTTCAGATTGTTTCTTAGAAACAGAAAATTCACATGCTTTTGGATATAAACATTTTCTTGAGAGCAAAAATTAGATGAAAAAATGTGATTTGGATACTGCTTTTGATGAATGTCTTGAATCCCTGTATAAGAAGCCAACAGTATAGAAAAATGAAAACTATCTTTAGGTCCGTTTAATGGGGGGTAGGAGGATGAAAAACCATGTGGTGCTTCAAGACTAAATAATTTTAAAGTAGCAGAACATAACCACGCAAGAGACACATTATTTTCACACTTCATTTTTTTTTATTTTTTTTTAATTTTTTAATTTTTTTATTCTTATGTTAATCCCCATACATTACATCATTAGTTTTAGATGATGTGTTCCATGATTCATTGTTTGTGCATAACACCCAGTGCTCCATGCAGAACGTGCCCTCCTCAATACCCACCACCAGGCTAACCCATCCTCCCACCCCCCTCCCCTCTAGAACCCTCAGTTTGTTATTCAGAGTCCATCGTCTCTCATGGTTCGTCCACCCCTCCGATTTCCCCCGCTTCATTCTTCCCCTCCCGCTACCTTCTTCTTCTTCTTTTTTTTTTTTCTTAACATATATTGCATTATTTGTTTCAGATCTGAGATTCAACAGTCTTGCACAATTCACAGCACTTACCAGAGCACATACCCTCCCCAGTGTCTATCACCCAGTCACCCCATCCCTCCCACCCCCCCCCACTCCAACAACCCTCAGTTTGTTTCCTGCGATTAAGAATTCCTCATATCAGTGAGATCATATGATACATGTCTTTCTCTGTTTGACTTATTTCACTCAACATAAGACCCTCCAGTTCCATCCACGTCGTTGCAAATGGCAAGATCTCATTCCTTTTGATGGCTGCATAATATTCCATTGTATATATATACCACCTCTTCTTTATCCAGTCATCTGTTGATGGACATCTTGGCTCTTTCCACAGTTTGGCTATTGTTCACACTTCATTTTTAATCCATCTTAAAATCAAGGTTACAGAGCCCTGATCTCAGCTGGATATAGACTGAACTTTCAATAGGACAGGACCGTGATGTTGTATCTTCTACACAGCATGGGCGCATAGTGAGTGCTTGTCCATTTCAAAGTCCAGCATCCACAGTATTTGGCCACAGCATTATCCTCAAAGGAGAGAAGATGGCTTGGAGGATCACTACAGGTTCAATCTTCAATGTATGGACAACCGTAAATAGAAAAGAAAAACAATCCCACCTGTTATATTTGCCTTTGAGTGGGTCATCTGATTGGAGATGGATAAATTTGTAGGGACAGTCTGAGTTTATTGGGTATGATGAAATCTTCCTAAATAAAGCCATTTCTTCTGTTGTGACAGTTGTCATAAATACCTGATTAGAAAGTAAGATAAGTCTTTTTAAAGTTGGCTTTCTTCAGTGGAGTAGCTTATTAAGGGTATTCTGAAATTACTTCATGTCATAAATCTTAACCAGTGGTTGATGCTGATAATTTGCTTAATGTTGATTTTCCTAAAAGGCCTAAATTGTGAATCCAATCAATCTCATCAATCCCCTGACTCTAGACCTGACCATAATAAACTCACCCATAACAGATGATTAACGTGTTCCTAGGCCTGTACACCAATAACATGCTCAGCGTTTCCTTGCCTTCTCTATCATGAAGTTATTTCTCACCTAAACTCATGGAAAGTGGCAAATCATCTCCTTCATCTTCAGTTAATTTCCACCTCAATGGCCACTTCCATTCTACAGTTACCTATGCATTCATTGTTAATCCTGGATTTCAGGCTTCTATTTTAAACTGTCTAGTGGATATATCTACAAGGTAGTCCCATAAGCATCTCACAAGACGTATAGCAGGGTGATTAGAAGCGCATCCCTTAGAGCCAGATCCACCTGGATTCGGGTCCCAGCTCTGTTTATTGCTTGTAATGAGACTTCAGTTGCTTCTGAAGCTTCTGTTCCCACATCTATAGGATGGGAACAATATGGCATCTACTTCATTAGGTTGTGAGAATTAATTTATAAAATATTCACATAGTACCTGTTCATGGTAAGTGCTCCATAAATAAACATTATAAAATGTAAAACTGCACTCACTATCTCCACTTATAAGTCTGTGTCTCTCATGCAGTCCCATCCTCCTAAATTTGTTTCTTTCCACATCTACTATATCCTATAGGTCACTTAGTTCCATTCATTTCTGTTCTTCTACCTTCTTTTTCTTTTTAAGATTTATTTATTTATTTGGGGGGGAGGGGCAGAGAGAGAGGAAGAGAAGCAGACTCCCTGCTGAGCATGGCACCCACCTCAGGCCTCAATCCCATGACCCTGAGATGGTGACCTGAGCCAAAATCAAGAGTCAGATGCTCAACCAACTGAGCCACCCCAGTGCCCCTTCTTTTTCTTTTAAAGACTTTATTTTGCAGGGTGCCTGGGTGGCTCAGTTGGTTAAGCATCTGCTTAATGCTAAATGCTCAGGTCATGATCCCAGGTCCTGGGATGGAGATTTGAACCCCCATGGGCTCCTTGGTCCACAGGGAGCCTACTTCTTCCTCTCCCTCTGCCACTCCCCCTGCTTGTGCTCTCTCAAGTTCTCTCTATTAAATATATAAATAAAATCTTTTTTAAAAGGCCTTTATTTTTCTAGATCAATTTTAGATGCTCAGCAAAATCAAGAGGGAGTATAGAGATTTCCCATATACTCCCTGGCCCCACACACGCACAGCCTGCCCCATTATCGACATCCCCAGAAAGGTCCATTTGTTACAATTAGTGAACCTATCTTGACATACCATAACCACTCAAGTCCATAGTTTACATTATGGTTCACTCTTGTTGCTGTACATTCTGTGTTTGGACGAATGTATAATGACATGTATCCATCATTACAGTATCATATAGAATATTTTCACTGCCCTAAAAACCCTCTGTGCCTCACCTATTTATCACTTCCCCTAGGAATCATTGATCTTTTTTACTGTCTCCATAGTTTTGTCTTTTCCAGAATGTCATAAGCTGGACTCATACAGTATGTGGCCTTTTCAGATTGTCATCTTTCCCTTAGTAACATGCATTTAGGTTTCCTCCATATCTTTTTGTGGACTGATAGCTCATTTCTCTTTCATGCTGAATAATATTCCATTGTCTGGATGTACCACAGTTTATCTATCCATTTACTATTGAAGGACATCTTGGCTGTTTCCAAGCTTTACGTGCTACCACCATCCATGTGCAGGTGTGGACATGTTTTCATCCCCTTTGAGTAAATACCAAGGAATGTGACTGGTGGAACATATAGTAAGAGTATGCTTAGATTTGTAAGAAACCGTCCAAATTGTCTTCCAAAGTGGTTGTACCAGCAATGAAGGAGAATTCCTGTTGCTGCACACCCCCCTTAGCCCTGGGTATTGTCAGTGTTCTAGATTCTGGCCATTCTAATAGATGTGTATGGGTACCTCATTGCCACCTTAATTTGTACTTCCCTGATGACATGTGACATGGAGCATCTTTTCATATGCTTACTGGCCATCTGTATATCACCTTTGGCTTATTTTTTATGAGTTGTTTTCTTATTGTTCAGCTTTAAGCGTTCCTTGTATATTTTGGATAATAGTTCTTTATCAAACATGTCTTTTACAAATATTTTCTCCCAGTTTGTGATTATTTGTCCTCTCGTTCTGTTGATTTTCTTCTTTTTTTAGAATATAGAAAAATAATTATATGAAATTACAATTTTTTTCTGAAATAGATTTTGCCAACTGAATAGTGTAACAGAGGAAAGACCTATTTGTAATAAGAGTTGAAGCAGAGGGGCGCCTGCGTGGCTCAGTCGTTAAGTGTCTGCCTTCGGCTCGGGTCATGATTCCAGGTCCTGGGATTGAGCCCCGCATAGGGCTCCCTGCTCGGTGGGAGGCCTGCTTCTCCCTCTCCCACTCCCACTGCTTGTATTCCCTCTCTTGCTGTGTCTCTCTCTGTCAAATAAATAAATAAAATCTTTAAAAAAAAAAAAAAGAGTTGAAGCAGAAAACAGGATATATTGTCTAAGGGTTTAATCGCTTTAATTGAAGGCTCAAATATAACAAAGTAAAAAAAAAAAGAACTAAGGATTTTATTTCATCTCATTATAAGAAAAATTATCATAATTTTTTAATATCTTGAGAAACATTCTCTCTAATGCCCTAAACATGGCCAGTGCCAAATTGTACAATGCATCATATGGCCTTGGAAGGGGTACTTAGATAAAGTGTTCTGTGTAAATAGCAGCATTGGGAAAACAAAACCAAACCATGGGAAAGAGATAAAGAACAATCTGTACCTTTGTTCTGCTCACCTAAGAAGGTCTATAGCAAAGTGGCTAAGGCATCCATCCATTCTAGGGCCAGTCCTGGCTTAGCCTCAAAGCAGAACAAGTTACTTTGTCTCTGTGCCTTGGCTTCCCCATCTATAAAGTGAGGACTATAATAGTAATAAGGGTTATTTCAAGGATGAAGTTAATAGGTAGAAAACACTTAGAAGAGTTCCTGGCACATAGTAAACAGTTAATATTAGCAATTATTTTTATAGTGCTGTTTGTGAGGACCAAATGAAACATCTGTAATCTTTGAAAGCTATACAAATTGATGTTTTAGTCAAGAATAAAGAAGAAAGTGAAACTTTCTTTAAATCAGATTATTTGGTACTTGACAAGAATTTATGGGGCTCTTCTAACATATTTGCTTGAGCTTAAACTCAGCTGTAAAAATAAACACTGCTTTTTGAAATTCATGTAACAGCATTTTTTAAAATGTTTTATATCACTTAGCACATTATATTAGTCACAATTTGTGTAGACTCATTATTTTGGAATCTTGCAGTCTTTTCTAAATGTTCTCTAAATTCACCATATTTGAGCTAAAAAACAAATCACATTAGACTGGTAACAAGAATCCAGGGTTCAAATTCCAGTCGGCTATGAACAAACTGAATGTCTTTAGGCAAATCGTTGAGCTTTACAAAGTCTCAGTCTCCTTACACATAAAATTACCAGGTAGGAGCAGATAATCTCTAAGGTCATATCCAATTATAAAATTCCATGAGTTGTAGGTTAGGATAAACATCACTATCTTTGTTTTTTGTTGGGATAGATTTTAAAGGACTTGCCTTAAGTCATACATTTGGAATTTTAAACAAGCAAAAATACCATTCTCCTGGCTCTCAGACTGGAACTCACAGTGCAGCGAATCTCAAACTTTTCGAATCAAAATGCCATAGAATTCCTCTACTATGTAAAAATGTTGAAAATAAAGACAACTGAAGAAAAACAAACTCTACAATTCTTAGCAACCTGATACCACCTGAAAATACTTTTCAGTTTTAATCTCTCAGGCAAAGTAATACCTCTACTAACTTAACAGAAGCAAAAATCAAAAACATTTCCAAAAGTAGAGAAAGCCAAGTCCTCCTTTTTATATAGCCTAAGACCAAGAAACAACTTGTGCTGCTTCCCTGCACTCGTCTCAATATTGCCCAATTTTAAGAAAACTGCAGTGACCAGCAGTACCTGACACCCCTTGTGCCCGACTAGTGTATTAACATGGCAAAGGACAGCAGGAGGGACAAGAGGTTGGCAGGCAAAAGAAATAAACATAAAGCATTTTAAGGTCTACTATTTTCTTATTGATTATGTTAATATAAGACAAAATTGACTTCAAGACAAGAAATATTACCAGAGATAAAGAGGGATACTCCATAATGGTAAAAAGGTCAACTCATTAAGAACATATGGTAACCTTAAATGCATAAGCACCTAATGACAGAGCTTCAAAATATGTGAAGCAAACACTGAAGGGGAAAAGAGATAAATCTATAGACAGAGATGGAATATACTTTTTTTTTCTTCCAGTCATTACATTAATGTATAAAATAGAGAAAAATCAATAAGGATAGTGAATTTTTAACCAACACTAAAAACCAAGTTGATGTACTTGATATTTATAGAGCACAACCAAAAGCTACATAAAATACTTTTTCTTCAAATGCACATGGAACAAATATCTAGAAGGGCCATGATAGGGCATAAATCAAATCTCAAAATTTTTTGAAGAACTTAATTATACAGGGTACTTCTCTGACTAAAACAGAATTAAATTAGAAATCAGTTATCAATAGATATATGAAAAAACTCTAGCATCTGGAAATTAACAAACCGATTTCTAAATAATCCGTAAGTCAAAAAGCAATTTAAATGTAAGTTAGAAAATATCTCAAGCAAAATGCTGAAGAAGTCAAAATTTGTGGGATGTAGCTAAAATTGTGCTTTGAGGGCAATTTCTAGCTTTATATTAAAAAAGAAGAAACTTTTTTTTAAGATTTTATTTATTTATTTGACA